AAATCATAATTATCCTTTTGATGATTTATATGTAAAAGGTATTAATATTCATACAAATTGGTGGATATCAATAAAATTAAAGAAAGGAGAAAATCATATTAAAAAGTTTGCACTTCAAATACATGTAATTATTTCTTATAATATAATATATGAGTGTGTATTTTCAATCTTAAGATAGTAAACAGCATACTAGGTAATTTAACAAAATTTATATATTATAATTTTAATTATTATTATTTAAATTACTTAATTTATTTTAGAATTAAAATAGAACAACTTAAAGCAATAGTACAAATTCATTTATATCTTGTAACAAATATAAATCAGAATTAAAGTTTTTAACTGAAAACATTTTAGAAATACTTAATAAAACTTTTAATCAAATTACATTAGCAATGGCAAATAGAAGTGATTTATTTGAAGATAATGAAAAATTTTGAAACAAATTTTACTTTTAAATATGATAAAATTAAAGATATAGAAGAATTAAATAATGATAATTTAGAAATTATTGATTATATTGATTTATTAGTAAGTATATTAAATGCAAATAATATTAATTTTGATAAATAAGAAGAAGAAATTAGAATTGATTATGAGGATCTAAATTTGATGTTAATGAAATGGTAGAAAAATTAAAACTTTAATTTTAGTAATAAAATAATAGTTTTAAAAAAAAATTAAGATTATTATAATAAATATAAATATTAATTTTACATAATCATTATTTTTTTTATTTGATTTATTATAACTTTATTAAGTTTATTTAATTATATTTTATTTATTTTATAATATAAATTTAATTAACTAAATTTTAGTTTTGATATTAATTAATTACAAACATTTGTAGGTATTATAAATATGATAAATTTGAATAATACTAATATTAGAATTTAGGATTTAGAATTTGAGATTATGGGATTTAAGATTGAGATTTAGGATTGGGATTATGGGATTGGAATTGGAATTTAGGATTAAAATGGGATGGAATGGAATGGAATGGAATTTTAAAAGAAAGTGTATGAGTATTAACTATATTTTACAATTCTATTAGAAAGTTTATATTTACATAATTTATAAATACTTTTATTTTAAAAAGCTTTATTAAAATTACAATTTTTTAAATATTATTCCAAAAAAAAAAACAATCTGTCTTTTAAAATTGCTTTTACTATATTTTTAATGTAAAATAATCTGAAACTTCTGCTTCATGTCAAAGAAAGTTTTGAATGGAAAGATTTTTTGAGAATCTAAAAACAATATAGAAATGTTTTTTTATTAAAGAATTATCAGAAGCTATTAAAATATTAGCAAATGATGAATTTGAAGAGTTATTTAATAATTTGAAAAGTGGAATTAATAAAGCCCATGAATATTTTGAAAATGGTTAGATTTGGCTTTATTTATCACTAGTAATTTGTCGATTAGGTGGAGATTCTGCACATTTATTTGCAAACAGTTGGCGTGAGTGCTGGAAAAAGGTACCAAATTAAAAATTTTTCAAAAAATTGTTCTTAAGTGAAATTAAATCTGATCATTTCATCTGATCCAGAACTCTTATTATTTAAAAAAATAATTTTTTGATGATTTGGTCCCTTTTCCCAGCACCAACCCCAGTTTCGTTTTACAATTTTAAAAAGGAACTGGAACAAGAATTAAGGTTCGCAAAAAAGACTTAGAAAATGACATTAATTGTGGAAGTAACAAATATTTTTGGTTTACAAGAAATGCTATTTGGATAACAATGATGAATTTTTCAAGGCCGATAATCCTATGTTACACGAATTCCTCATCTTTATAATTTCGTTAAAGCACATATTTATTTTATTATTATTCATCAGCAACAGGTCGAAGAACTTTATAATAAATTAGGTTTAAAAACTCATGCAAATATGTCATTATCTCTTAAGCAATCAAAGCTTCGATTAGCTTCAAGCAAGGTTGGAAAGAGAATTTAACTGCGGGTCTTGAAGAATTTCGTGTTCAAAGACAGTTCCGCTTCAAGACAAGCAATCACCACTAGGATGTTAAACGGTCCTTAAACGGTCCTTACAATTTGAAAGATTATTAACTCTAGAGAAGTCTAATCATTTATCTATAATAAGTAACCCTCATCAAAAAAATGTCATAAAAATTTTATAATTAATTTGTAAATATCTAAAATGATATTCAAAATTGCCAATTTTGATGGGGACCGTTAAGTATAGGATCGGTCCTTGGGACCCGATCCTAAGTCCTTAAATTTTAAATTTTAAGAAATTCTGGGATTCCAAGAGGGTTTATTATATATTTTCATTTTAGTAGCTCATTAAAACATTATAATAGACAAGTTTCATAATAAATTTGTAAATATAATTCTTTGTAACTTTTTTGTAACTTTTAGGACTGCTTAGGACCGCTTAACGTCCCTAATCACCACCATTTGGAGAAGAAATTGCATCACACCTTTTTAATTGTATACTAGGTAGAAAATAAAATAAATATACTTATTATTAAATAATATCGCGTTAAGATAATATAATGGGATCGACATTTATTGCCATGTGATAAAAAATTCAATAGTAAATTTTCATATGGGTCCATAATATAGTTTTGCTTTAATTAGTTGACCGCACACCCCAATCTTACAATATTCAGAATACCTTTAAAACCACCTCGACAGCTGAAATCAGACATGATTATAAGATATTTAAGCACTATATAACGATTATAATGATTTATAACCGATTTAGCAAGATTATACTTTACTAAATTCGAAATCATTTTTATTCGATGAAAACAAACTGGGATTTATATAGGGATATGCTAATTTTATATTCTTATACATATATATTGTTTGTGGATCCCTCCGATCATCTAGAAGCTATTCTGAAATGGGCAATTATTTTATTAGAGCTCAAATTGGAAATGATTCTTCAAAATTTTAAAATAGTGAAAAAAAAAAATAATAATTATAGTTAGTAGAAAAAAAAAATAATTTAACTATAAATACAACCAAATTAAAGATCAAATTATACTATCGACCCCACATTCCCCACATTTCATCAACGAAGATGGAAACTGATAATAAAGATGAAAAATTCATTAATAAAGAGGTATCCAATGATGGCGAAGAGATATTTGTTGAGAATAAAGAACTTGAAAAGAAATTAGTAAGAAAAATAGATCTTAGAATTATGCCATTAATAACTTTGTTATATCTCTTAAGTTTCTTGGACAGGTAATTGAAAACAACGATTTCCTTTTTCATGTAAAATTGTTTATCACCTATATAAAATTCATCATGTATCCCTGCCGATTATTATTAGAGTAAATATTGGAAACGCGAAATTGGCACATATTGAAGCTGATCTTAAATTGGTGGGAACTCAATTTAATTGGTGTCTAAGTATTTTCTTCATGTAAGTAATCTTTTTAAAATATAATACTTTTGATACAAATTGAATAATCAAGATAATGATATATTTCTTTTTGTAGTGGATATATTTTATTTGAAATTCCTTCGAATTTCATGCTCGTTAGGACAAATCCCTCTGTGTGGAGTAAATAGATGTTTGTTACTACGTTAAATTATCTTTTGAATGCCTTTTCTTAATTTAATTATTTATATTTTAGTTCCTTTCATAATGATATCATGGGGAGTTGTAATGACGCTTATGGCATTTGTAAGTTTTAACTTTCGAAGCAAGAAATTAATTTAATGTTTAAATTAAAGTAAAGTTAAAATTGAATTTTATTCCAGGTGACTAATTTTTCAGGGGTAATGGCGGCAAGATTTTTTTTAGGTGTCTGTGAAGCAGGATTTTTTCCAGGCGCAATTTATTATATATCCACATGGTATAAACGATCAGAGACAAATTCTCGTATAGCCATCCTAGCTGTTGGACCTAGTTTTGCTGGTTCATTTAGCGGTTTATTAGCATACGGTATTGTAAGATTAGATGGATGGTTACATCTAAAAGGGTGGCAGTGGGTATGTTTTAAGTATTAACTTTATGTTTTGTCACGATAACTTTCTCTTACTGACAAAGATCCTGTATTTTTAAAAAGTTATTTTTAATTGAAGGATTACTGACAGTTGTAGTCTCTATAATTTCTTATTTCTATCTGGCTAATTATCCTGAAAAAAGTATGTGGCTTAGTGAAGAAGAACGTAAATACGCTGTTGAACGATTAAAAAATGATGCAGGAAAAGCTTATGTAATTCACTATGATAAAAAGCAATTTTTCGCCGCATTAACAGATTGGGTACGTAAATTATACATTAATAGTAATGTTTAGATATCTTTGCCTTAATAGCTTCTTCATTATTTTAGAAAGTTTATTTATCTATGTTATATCTTGGTGTAAGTTCAGTATCATTTTATTCTTACTCATTATTTATTCCAACAATAATAAATGGAATGGGATTTGGTTTTGGTAATTATAAAATTTTTTTTATTTAAATCAAGTTTTTCTCATTTAATAGTTATTCAATAAATTTTATTTATTAATCTTTAAACCATATGACAGTTAAATCACAATTATTATCAGTACCACCATTTTTCTGTGCTGGAATATCAACGTTAATTGTAGCAGTACTTTCGGACCGTAAAATTGTTCGCAGTCCATTTATCATCACAGGTTTATTTTTCGCAATTTTTGGCTATATCTTATTAGCCGTACCTTCAGTAGGCACAGCAGGTAAGCAAATTTATTTTTTTTTATAAAATGGTGATTGCAATGTAGTCGTTTTAAATTGACATTAAATTATTTTATTTAGGAAAATATGTTGGTGCATGTATCGTTGGATCTGGTTTGTTTCCTGCAACTGTAACTGCAATCGCATGGTAAATTTTTTATAATTTTATTACCTTTTTTACTTTTTAATAGAATTAATATCTCATCTCACCTTTCTCTTCATCCTTTTTAACAGGATAACGAATAATATAGCAGGTCATGCGAAAAGAAGTATATCGACAGCAATGATAATGATGTGCGCAAATGTAGGAGGTGCTGTAGCATCACAAATTTATCGACAGAAAGATTTTCCAAAATATCATTATGGTCATTCAATATCTATGGCATTTTTAATTACTGCAACATGTATTTCAATTATCCAATATTTTGTCTTCAAAAATTTAAATAAGAAAAAGAGAGAAAATCCTCAATCGTTTTTAGAAGGAAAAACTGAAGAAGAAATTAAAAATATGGGTGATCTTCATCCTGATTTTATCTATAATTTATAATTAATTAGGATAATGTATTTCATCAAAATTTTTTAACCTTCTCTAATTAATTTTTTAAATTCATGAATTTTAATTCAAAGAAAACGATATTTTATATTTACATGCAAAAGGATGAATAAATTATATATTTTAATCAAAAAGGCGTAGAACCTTTCTTGAAAAAAAAGAACCTAATATCATTGATTGGTTTTAACTATTTTGGGAATAAGGTGCCCATGATTTGCAATAATATCAAATCTGTCGATCTATCTGTCCCGATTTCAGAAGTAACATTCTTGATTATGTGAGAGATTTATAAATAACACACTAGCCTTTTTTCGAATAAAGTATACCGCTTGTTTGTTGGGGCCGATGGAAATACAAAAAAAAAAAAATCATCGTTGTAAATGTATCCATTTTCGTTTCATTCTAACATCACGATCAGCAAAACTATGTAAATCAGGAGGTATAGATCTTACTGCGTGTGAAAATTACATCAAAGGATTGACAATCGTTACACGTTATTTTTTATTCCTACTCGGGCTCCACACAATGGATAATGCTATAGCCCCTGTACATTTTATAGGATCGAGATCTGTAAATCGGTAGATTAAGAGGCTCAATTTCACGTTTTCCGGACATTCATTTTCCCATACAATCCCAAATGAATGAAAATGATGAATTAATGAAAAAGCAACCTTTAACGGATTATAATATTAAATCCAGAGTTAAAATTTCAATATTTAAATATTAAAAAAAAAGATTTGGTACTTTGTTTAGTATTATTTAATTATTGAATACTATATCTTCTAAACTTCTGATATAATAATACTTAAAGAATCAAAATCGCGTTATTTAATTATGTATGCATTAAAAGATACTTCTATAACTAGAATATTGATAAATTTAAAAATTAAAAGTTGAATATATTCAGTATAACATTTTAATAGTTTAGTAAAATTTTATTGATACTAATTTCATTACAATATTTTAAGCGAACGAACGTATGACGTATGTTATGATACACCAAACCTACGTAGTCAATAAAATCTGATTGTTTCATTATTTAATATATTAATGTCCCATACCAAATCGCAATTTAATCTACAAGATGTCATTACCCGTCCTATTCAAAAGTCTGGGATTAAAGGATTTTTCCTGTTTATATCACCTCCGTTAATCAAATAAATTTTTTATTTGAATTGTTGTTTATATATAAAAACTATTTTTTTGAATTATCGTATAATTTTTAAAAAATTTGTCAATCTAAATATTATACTTAAAATGTCAAATAATAAGTTCATTCGCATATTTAATAAATACTTTTTTTAATTTCCGCCTATCTGCGTGTTTTCACCTAATAACCATGCGATATCATCCTGCAAAGTTTTTTAATAAAAAAATTTAAAAAAAAATTATGCGCAATTAAAAACCTTTATTTTAAGAAATTTTCGGCTTATTTTTTAAAATAATAAAAATTATATTATTCTTGCTAATTATAAACGATTATTTGAGTTTATGAATAATAAAATACTAATTAAATTTGTTTAATATTGATGTTTCTATCGGCTTATTTTATTTTATTTTATTTTAAAAATAACCTTGAGAAATAAAAAGATTTATTTATAAAAAAGAGATTTATGACATGTAAAGAGTTGATGGTCGATAATATTTGGAGAAAATCATTAATTCTTTGCAATATCTTATTAGCTATTGGTCCAATAAATTTGTGCTTATATTCATTGAAAACTCTCAATAAGATAGTTCTAAAATTAATTAGTAAATAGAAAGTTATTTAATATAGAGCGCGTTGATATCTCAAATATGTGGACATGGCGTCCATTGCTTACAGAATATATGTAGTGTCGGAATAATGATATCAATATTAAATATCAAATTCCAATTCTTTTGTTTTATAATCCGATAAATTAGTTGTTTTATTACGTTTATCTATAAAAAAATAAAGTATTTAATTATTAAAATTTCTTTGAATTATCATAATTTAATCATATCATACCATTATTTTCAATCTGATCATCTTCATCAAACTTTCGTTTACCTTCTTTTTTTTTTAAAAAAAAAAAATGTAGTGATTAGAAATAATTGGTAGGAGTTTTAAATAATATATATAAAAGTATAAATAATTACCATTAAAGGTGCTGCTTTTCTGATAATAATTAAACGAACCTAAATATTTATGTTCAATTAAATAACATTTTTATAAACATATTATTTTAATATTATAAAACAAATTAATTACCAAAACCCGAAGAAACGGGTTGACTTCGTAAACTTCTCGTGGATTCTGCGGATTTTATCATGCTACTTAAAGATCTACTCTTATAAATAGCGCATGGATTGTTTGTAGTTATAGGGCCAATATCTGATGATTCTACAATATCGGTTGAATTTCTATGTTCATCATTTTGAATGTCTTTAATTGTATCCTCAATGCAATTCCGCCAGGGTTTATCACTCACTGGCCTTTTACTTGGATCAGGGTCCCAGCATCGTTTCATTAACGCAATATAACCTTTAGGTGCGTTTATATCACCGATTGGAGGACGTAATCCATCACAAATATCAATAATCAGATAAGTATCATGAGCACGATCCCAAAAAGGTCTTCTACCTGTCATAAACTCCCACATAATCATACTAAAACTATAAACTTCTGAAGCCGTGGTATATTTTTGTCCTTGAAGAATCTCTGGGGCCATATATGGAATAATTCCATAGATTTCATTATCTTTAGTTTTAGTAGAAGATTTGCTCAATCCTAAATCCCCTATTCTAGCATCAATATTTAACAAAATATTTCCACTATGCAAATCACGATGGATAATTCTATTTTTATGAATGTTATAAAGACCTTGTGCAATGTTGTTTAAATGTTTTAACTTAGTTGACCAACTAATATTAAAAAAATCTTTAGCTATATAATGGAATAGATCTCCTGCATCACAATAATCCATAATTATCACAAAATCTTTGGTAATTGGATCTTGCGTAATTCCATAATATCGATTAATATAATTTCCTTTTTTCAATTTATAATACATTTTAAGCTAAGAAAAAAGGATAATAATTTAGCATTTATATAAATAAATAAATAAAAATAAAAATATGTACCTCATTTAACTCCCTTGAAGTAAAGTTTTTAGAATTATTAAGTTTCTTAAGAGCAACTTTTTTATTAGGTTCTCGTTCATATATTTTTTCTTTGTTATTCCACCGAATAATTGGACCATCAATCCAAGTAGCTTTATAAACTTTACTAAATCCTCCCTCACCAATAAATTCTACACCTTTGATTTTTTCAAATGGAACAAATTCCATTTTGCCTTCGGAACTATAATGAATTTGTGTACTTTTGATAAAACCGTCAATAATTTCGTTTCCAATTGGATTAAAGGTTGTGTTTGTTTCATAACAATTACGGCAAATATTATGATATTCTTCAGAAGGTTTTCTTCTTTTTTTACATGAAAAACATTTCTCAAATTTATATTTAGGCTTTAATTTATCCGTGTTTTGCATTTGCTGACTTGATGTGTCATTTGATATTAAAAAGTCAATTTTATGTTTAAAGTTGATTAATTGTTTCATGATTATTATAAATTCGTTGCAGCATCCAAAGCACTACCTATTATATATATACTTTATACCAAATAGAATATATCCATTCCATAACTTCTAGAAAAGAGGTTTCTTTCATTATATAGGCATGATCTATTAAGTTTCTATGGAGAAGACTTGATATGCACCCCTGCATTTTATGCGGTGCGTTGTAAACAATAACCTTTGAAAAAATCAATTTTTTAAGCTTTATTGTTTTGTACATTTCTTATATACCCTATTTGTTAAAAATTTTTTTTTTTTGTAATGCATTTGAATGAATTACAAAGTTAGAACATCAAACGATTTTATTTACACATGAAGAGGTAAAAACGTTTCATAAGGTCACACAAGAAAATAAGAATGTAAGTGCAAAAAAAAAAAAATTTGAACAAAAATGAAAAATATAGTTTAAAATTTACTTCAAATACAGCTGCACAAAGGAAAAGAACCCGGATCTATTGATTCTGCGGTAGTACCTTGATTTAGTCAATTTCGGCTGAGACCTTCTTTTCTATCGGAACTTCTTATCAGAAAATTCAAAAAACGGTTCGGTTTCGAAGTTCCTGCCAAATATGGAAACATGCCGTTGGCTGGCTCTCACCCACTTTTGTAAGTTCATTTGATGAATTTGATTTCATGAAAAAAAGAATATAATTTCGGAATATAGTTGTTTTTTTTTTTCCTTTTTCTTTTCCTTTTTTTAAAATAAAAAAAGAAAATTCCCACCGGTTTGTCGTAATAATTTTTTTTATTAAAAAAAAAATTTTATAAATATACGTTTATGGAAAGGGATCATTAAATGTTACACCTAAAAATATTTATCATTCTACTTAGTATAATAAACAAAACAATCTTTATCATTTGAAACGAAGAACAGAAATAAACAATGGTAATTATGTATGTTAAATTCTGGTGGAATACAAGCTGTTAAAATATGATGACAGGGAAAAGGATTAACTTTTAAATCTTTCTGTTGCCTTTTGCTTTTGCTTTATCGTTACAGGGCGAGACATAAAACACTTATACTTTTAAAATTGAGGATTTTGCGCAAAGACAATAACCTTTACGATCTTAACTTTATCAATTTTACCAAATTTTATATTTATCAGAAAATTTACAAGAAAAAGAACTTACAAAATAATCATTTGTGAGAACTTTGATAATTTTTGGATAGTAATGTCAGAAATTATCCTAAAGAAGATATAATTCATTTCAATTAGGGTTAACATTATAAATTTTAAAATTTTTAAGAATACTTCGCAAACTCATTTATTTGATTATATACCGTATGTTTAATAGGAAGCGAATTATATACAGCCGATAAAAAAGTTATGATAAGGTTGCATGTATTACAAAAGAGCGTCAAAAGATTGTGAGATTTTTACAAATGATAAATTCAT